GAAGGGGACACTAGGGGGGCCAAGCTCCCAGTGAAAAGTGGCTTTTATGATGCCATTTTAAATGGAATGAAGTCTTGCCCAATTTCACAGAAACAATTTGGTATTATCACTATGTATGAAATAAGAATAAACGGGCAGCTTTAAACCTATGAAGCTCAAAAGTACCTTACTGATATTTTATCTTTATCCCCATTGTGATGGCACACTGCAGGGCAATTTGCAATAAAGCTTATATCTTCTTCTCAAAACAACTAGGGCAATGGAGAAGAATAAAAATTTACTTTATATATAAAACAGACCACAGTCTATACAGGAAACCCAACATGTTGTTTAAGTAGGAAAATCCCCTTTCCTCGTTTTGTAGTATCAAGTCATTTTTTTTTTAATTTTCACAGATACCAAATTACATACATTTAAGTAGAAATGGTCTTGTCTTCCCACAGAGTATTGCTAATTTGAGTTCCTAACTCCTGGCATTGACCTAGGGCTTAGTCCTAGCTGTTGTAGGTATGTGTGTGTGTTTGTGTGTGTGTGTGTTTTGAGTGGGTGGGTGGGTGAGGATGTGTATGTGTGTGTGTGCATGTGTGTTTTTGTCTGCAGAGACTTCAACTCCGAATATCCACATAAGACTATACTTCTTGGGGCTCTTTCTGTGACACAGAGGGCCAAGCCACCGTCTGCCATGCTCATAGCCCATATCATAGTGCTGGCTTAAGTTCTAGCTGACTCACTTCTGATTCAGCTTCCTGCTAATGTGCCTGGGAAAGCAGCACCTTGGGTCCTTGTCACCCACATAGGAAACCCAGATGGAGTTTCAGGCTCCTGGCTTCAGCCTGGCACAGCCCAGGCCATTGTGCCCACTTGGGGAGCGAACCAATGGATGTAATATCTTTCTTTAATTTTCTACCTCTCCTCTTTTCTGTCACTCTGCATTTGAAATACATAAAAATGATCTTTCAAAAAACGCTTCTCTTCTAGTACTTCTCCATACAATGTACAAATATAAAAAGCAGGAAATGAAATACATCCTTACAAAAGGCCAGTATTTCACTCCAAACTCAGATACTTCACTGGATTTCAGCCAGCCTTCAATCTTCCAATCTCAGCACTAAAACGGATAGCAAATATATTCTGAAACTGTCACTAATGGCACTTGAATTGAATTTCACAATAAGCACTGAGGAACTTACTAAAAACCTCTTGCAGGACTAGAATTTTGTTAACAGCATGTCACTCCATTAAGTGGGTAGGCAGGGTATGAAAAAAAATTTCATAAACTTTTATCATACTTGTATTACAAACAACAGAATTTGACCCATATCCCACAGGCATCCACGTCAATGGAGACACAGAAGACCTCACCACCTTCTCCCAGGTAAGGTGTGCTGGCAAGAGACAGCAATCCCCAGCCCTACTCAGCTCGTGACAGAACCAGTGTCCTACTTTGTGAAGTCGCTGTGGTCCCCTTTCACTTGTGTTCTTCCAGCGCATGATGCCTCTCCCACAGTGAGGCTTGGGAGGGTGCACTGTCCTCAGACCTTGCAACTGCCTGGACGGATTCATGACTGAAGAAAAGCAGTTCAAGTTTTAATGCCCTGTGACTCTGAGCAAGGATCACGGTAACACTTCATGCTTGGGGCGATGCAGGAAACCATGTGCAGGTTGAGCGATTAGGAAATTCAAGAGCCTGGCTGCTCAAGGGCAGTCATGCAACAAAGTCGTAATATTCAGACATCCTTCCTTTGGCACTGCACCTGCTTGCGACCATCCATCACAAGTCTAAATACCACGAGTTTCTTGAAACAATCACAGAATGATACTGGAAATAAGCCAGTATCAAAATCATCAAGACATGTGTGTGTGTGTGTGTGTGTGTGTGTGTGTGTGTGTGTGTGTACAAGCATGGGTGCAGACCCATACAATGTTCAAAAGGAGAGAGGCCTTGCTACTGCTTACATGTCAATTACTTTGCCCAATAACCATCAATACGACCTGAGTGGTGGTAGCAATACAAACACACATGAGGCTATTTTCTACACAGTCATTTTAACATTTCTAACTAAGCTATGTTCCCAGGGTTCTACAAACACTAATGTTTTTTCATGTACCAAATAGTAAAAATAACAATTAATATAAACAAACACCCAAATTGCTACATCAAGCAATCATCATCCCATTTTATTCCTGGTGGAGAGTGCAGCCAGTTAATCACCTCTGAAACAGGCCTGCAGACGCTGCAATGCAAGTGGGAAGCATAACAAAACCAGGCGCTGGCCACTCACGCTAGTATTTAGATGTGGCACTAAAAATGCATTTCACACCCAGCTTCATCAATCACCAACCAATCTCACTTTGCATCTTGGCTACCTAAAGAAAATGGGATTTGTTTCCCTGAAGAAATATGTCATAGCTCTGCTTGAATTATTAAGCTTTACTATTACAGAAAGAAACAAGGAAATAAAATTGGGCCCAGGTTGCCATCTACAGACTGATAGTAGCATTGCTCATTCCGACAACTTTTGACAAACGAATATCAGCAAACACCAGCAGTGAAAACAGAAAAGTATGTGAATATAACCTTAATTATTAAAAAGGAATCAAGACACCCTAGAAAGTCTCTTGTGTTTTAATTATGATGAGACTAGTACAGACGTTAGGGAACACTGAATCAAATGCACAATTCTAAACGTAGGCTAGAAAAAAAAGCATAAAAGCATTTTCCTTAAACATAAAATGTAACACTTTGAGATAAAAACTGAAGAGGTTAATGTCAAACTTTAATTATAATCACGTGGACTTCATCTCTGCAACCAAATGGCTGGGTTTGTCTCGCTCATTAGCTTGACTCAGCACAGCCTTCACTTTGATTCTGCTTCAAATGTTTATCACGCCTACCTTTCCGAAAGGCAAAGGGCCCTCTTGAGAGCTGAGCAGCCAAGAGCACACGCTTGCTTCTAATTACTAAAATAGAAGCCGTTAAAGTAATAAGTAACTTCAATGGCAAATGCATATGAAAGCTGAATTAGAGAGATAGAGAAATTTTTTTTATATTATACTCTGGAAAAATTCTGTAGCCAAAGTGTCTGGGTGGAGAGCTACTAAGGAGAAATAGCTCAATTTCCAAGAGTACAGATTTCAACTAAAATGCTGAAACTTATCAACGGATAGTCTCATCCAGTGAACTTTTTTTCATTTCTTGGGGGCGGGGAACTGCTTTGGAAGCTAAGATTCATTTTTCCAGGTGGTATGTGCTTTGTATCAGGATGAAAAGATACGAAATACTTCTAACCGCTTAAATACACTTTCAGGTGCAAGGCAAAGCCTCTTATCAGGAGGTAAAAAAAAAAAAAAATCAGTCCCTAAACTCCTTCATTTGGAAGGCACCAGTGATTGTTTAATGTAACAATGAGATTCAGCAGTTTAAAAACCTATACTCTGCACATTATTAAACTGCATGGTGAAAACACACTGCTAAGATGGCCAATTACTGAAACAGCTGCAGGACTCTCTAGCGACAGGCACACTGGTAGAGGGTGTCTACATTTTCCAGCACCTGTAAGGCGGGACTGGCTGCAGCTTGAAACCCCTTTCTGTTGATTTCATGCCCAGATACTGTTACAAAAGCTGTTAAAAATGCCAAGAGCAAATATGCCGCTAATTTTTCTTCAACTAAAGTTTATTTTCCAATAAGCTAAAGAAAAGTGAACGCAGCCTCTTGTGACCCTAGGTTACTACTAATGAGAAATCTGAAAAGATGAGTGGGCACCTTCTTGGGGACCACTAACTCAAAAAGTTTTTTAAAAACTATGCCGCAAGTAGGAATTGGGATTTCCAAAGGCTAATAAGAGGCTCTTGATAAAATATAATTCCTAAAAAGATTGAAACGAGCTCTAGTTCTTAGTGGGCTCTTTAATATTGTGGATTTAGCTAATCTTTAATTCTTATCATTCATTCAACATTAAATGTCTCATAACACCGATATTGAGGGTGTAGGTAAAAAGTAAACTTAGCAAGACACACAGTCCACACTTTGGAGCCTTTACACTCTAATCTTCACATATACTGATTAAAATAATAAAGCCTCTACTAGTTTTTATGCTCTGTGTATGACATGTTCTTCTGTGATAACTGCTTCACTTTAGTTTGTATCCCATAATAGGCACTCAGTGAGAGTTTACTGACTGCATATCACACTCACCCCCTTGTTTCCTATTCACTAAAAAGCATTTATAAATCTAAAGATGACTGAAACTTAAAAGACAAATCTCTGTATGAACCCACATTCTGCAGGTAGATAATGGGCCCAAGAAACTTGAAATTGTCCAAGTTCAACAGCAGACTGGGAGAATCTAGGAGCCCTGCTTTGTGGCTAGTCTCCATCACTCCCATCCTTGACGATCTAACTCCCTTCTACATTCTTGTCAATGGAGTTGTTTCATTCATTATGTTCTTTCAACCTGGGCTCACAGATCTTTGTGTCTGACTCTTGAATCCCAGAGTCGGTGCTGACTCCTCAGCTGCGGAGCCCACATGAGCTTGGTGTCCTTAAGCGCTGCCCAGCTGGGGACTTAAGACTGAAGCTGTATCTCACCCATCCTCATCCCAGGCACCCACATCCAACTCGTGAGGTGAGTGAATGGAGTCCAGTGCTGAGCAGGTCACTGGGGAGACACAGTGCAGTGGTCAGCTTCCCAGGCAGCCCTTCAGCCTCAGCATCACCACACTCTACCGAGAACTTCCTCTTGCAGACATCGTGAGTTCATCATCCTTTTCCCCACACTAATGAAATCTCGGACTTACGCACATTTTGATGGGGCAAAATAAAATACTTAATTGGAGTCAGAAATCAAACCTGAAAAACAGCAGCATCTCTTGAGACACAAATCCTCAGGACACCAAAGAGTGTCCTCTGTGGGTCCAGGGAAACAGATTTAAGAGTCAAATCGTATCACAGTCTGAAGTCATCAAAAAGAATGATAGGATAATAACAGCTAACTTACCACTGTTTGGAACTGTTGATGGTGAGCTCTGAGACTTGATGTCTTGTTTCACTTTCGTTGGTTTTCCTGAACTCACTCCCTCTTTTTTCCCTTTCCTCTTCAGGGGCTGAGGAGAGGAGTTATCGCTGGATCCAATGGTTGACTTGGACTGGCGGTCATTTCCCTAAAGAGCAGAATTATAATAATATTGGCCAGTGAGCCCTAGTCCCTAGGGAGCTCCCCCAGTGAACACATGCCATCAGCCAGCAGTCAGTAGAGGGAATGCACTATCCTGAATCTGAGACTGCCCACCCTAACACCCACAATAACATCTCAATTATTTTCTGGAGGCCAAAGGAAGATCCACCAAAAGAAGGGGACAGGGAAGTAACAATTAACCATCATTGAGCAGCTAACACATGCCCCACCCAAGCTGTGAAGTGATCTCCCTGGGCCCTCACGCTAGCCCTGTGAGAGCATCATTGCTGTCACTGAGTTATAACGATGAGAAAGCGGGAAGGAGAGGCACAGCCCTGCCTTGGCCCCCCAGCCTGCCTCAGCGCCCCTGGAGTCCTGCCTCTATAATTCTCTCTTGAGCCTCTGCAGACTCAGCGTTGGCCACGTTGACCAGTTAGTCCACAAACACTGTCTTAGTGTCCACTAGGAATAGATATCATCCCACAAACAGGCATGCAACACGCTTAAACAAATCCTTAAATGTTATCCCTTGATAACTTCCACAGTCTCTAAGAATCACAGATACAGAGCAGACAGACTGCGGCTGCTCAGGATCACGTGTCCATGGTCCTTCCTGAGTGTGCTACGCTGCTGTCCTATTCCTTTAATGCAGCCACGGGCAACTGCATGGTCAGGGGTTGCCTCTGGCTTCCCTGTGCCCCTCCCTATGAAGACTGGGCACTCACCAACAGGGGAGCGGAGTACTGAGTGTAAAGCTGGCAGTGAGTTTCAATGTTTCTGTCACTGTCCCTGAAAAGCCCCTAATCACCTCTTCTACCACCACTATTACAAGGAACATCCTCCTAAGAATGCAGCGTTGGCCCTCAGGGGTTCAGGTGCTAAAGCAACCTGCCTGTGTAAGCTGTGGGGCTGCAGGTGGTGAAAACAGTGCAAGTTTCAGGATGCCCATACCTGCCTCAGAGCTGCTGTTCAGCCACGGCCTGTGTGATTACAGGCTAAGCTACTCCTAAACCAGGAGAGTTTATAAAGTGATTAGTACCATGGCCAGATAACAAGTATCAAAATGCTTTCTCCAAAAGCAGAGTTAATATCTATTTCTAAAAATCATTTCAAATTCATACCAATCGTAATGCAACAGCCATACCGAGCTAGTATCTGAAAAATAAATGTAGTAATACTAAATAAACAAATCTGCCTAGAAACCCATTATAATTGCTCATTTTAAACATTTATATAGTCAGCCATCCTGAAGCACTTAAATGGTTTTAGCCATCACCCAATTAAGAACAGAAAAATCTGCAGCCTTACAAATGAAGCTATTTATGCTATTTTGTCATAGCCTACAAGAAAATGAATTATGCATAGATTTATTAACAGTATGAAAACCTGTCCAAGACTCTCACACTTTTCTGTGTAATTTAATTTCCTATTCCAACTGCAATCTTAAACATACAGCTCCCATTTAATTATTGCATTAACAGCTGCCCAGAGTTTTCCTGTTCTGGGTGATGTCTTGCAAGGCCATAAACTATCTGCCAGAAGGAACGGATAATATGATTATAGTGGAAATTCCAAAGACATCAGCTGCATCTTGAAGACCAGCCTGTTTTGAATGGCGCCTCTTCGTCTCAAGATTTGAATCAGGAAGTGAGCCCGCCAGAATTTCGGAAGATACTGTGAAGTCACGAGGCTGGTGAGGAGCTCTGGCATTCAGTAAGCCCTCCAGGAAAAGGAAAGGGAAAAGAACAGGATGGAGAGGTAGCAGAAACCCCACCCTGAGATCCTTGGGGACTAGCTTCATCCCAAACACCACCTTTCCACTTATACAGAAGGCAGAGTCCTGAGGTATCACATCTCTGAGATGGGTACTCGCCAGGTTGATTCTGCAGCATGAAGAAAGGTTGATGAAATAACTGCAAAAGTCAATTTTTAGGTCACTGACATTCCTTCATACGTTCAATGACTAACAGCTAATAGCAAGACACTGGAGATGCAGGGTGGGGAGTGACAGCAAACTGAGAGAAGAGGATGAATTACTGTGTCATTAGAATGTTGGAAATAATTTAAATGCTTTTTCAAAATGTATTTATTTTGGAAAGGCAGATTTACAGAGAGAAGGAGATACAGAGGGAAAAATCCTCCATCAAACTGGTGCACTCCATATAGGCACTGGTTTGGGCACGGGTTCATGTCCCAGATGTCCCACTTCCCATCCTGCTCGCTGCTTGTGGCCTGGGAAAGCAGTCAACCATAACCAAAAGCCCTGGGACCCTGCACCCATATGGAAGACCTAGACAAGGCTCCTGGTTTCTGATCAGCCCAGCTCTGGCTGTTTGGGGCCACTTGGGGAGTAACCAGGAGACAGAAGATCTTCCTCTCTGTCTCTCCTTTTCTCTCTCTCTCTGTAAATTTGCCTTCCCAATAAAAAATAGAGAGCAAGAGCGAGAGAAAGAGAAAGAAAGAGGCGAGAGGGAGAAGGGGAGAGGAAGGAGGGGAGGAAGAGAGGAAGGGAAGAAAGATGGCAGGGAGGAAGGAAGGTGGAAGGAAGAAAGAGAGGAAATAAAAACAGGGTTCAGTGAGATAGCCTAGAAGTTAAACCCTTGCCTTACAGGTTCCAGGATCCCATATGGGTGCTGGTTTGTGGCTCAGCCACTCCACTTCCCTTCCAGCTCCCTGCCTGTGGCCTGGGAAAGCAGTCGAGGATGACCCAAAGCCTTGGGACCCTGCACCTGCATGGGAGACCCGAAAGAAGCTCCTGGTTTCAGATCAGCTCTGGCTGTTGTGGCCACTTGGGGAAGTGAACCAGGGGATGGAAAACCTTTCTGTCTCTCCTTCTCCCTGTAAATCTGCCTCTCCAATAAAAAAAAATAAGTAGATCTTTGATGGGAAAAAAAAAAATGTTGGAACTGGCATAATAGTAGTTATAGCATGTTGAGGCAATTCTAGCCCCAGCTGCTCCACTTCCTACCCAGCATTCAGGTGGGAGACCCAGGTGAAGCTCCAGGCTCCTGGTTTCAGACTGACTGTGAGCATTTGGGGTGTAAAACACTGGTTGAAGGAGCTTGTATTTTCTCTCTCATTCTGATTGTGGCTTTCAAATAAATAAATAATCCTTTTTAAAATGCTGACTTATCTAAAGTATTACATATGTGACATATAAACAACATATATTTGCATATTAACTATGTAGGTTATAAAATATGCAAACAACTTGCATTAAAGGAGGCAGGGTGTTCTGCTTCTTCAGACTTACTTAAACATGTATTTGGTCATCGTTCTCGGGCGGCTTAACACGTTCTCTAACCTAACTGTCAAGAGAATACATCCGCACAAATATCTACTCCATCTACAGGCAATAAAAGGAGTCTTCAAAAGCTTACGGAAAATATGCACTATAAAAAGGGGGGGTGCATAAATTTAATTTTGCACCAAAAATTAACTTCATTCCCACGAACTTTTTGAGGCCTCCTGATATTATCACTACTTCATAGATTAAGCAATTAACTTTCCCTTGGGGACTGATTTCTGCGAGTCCTTGCACCTGTCAGCGCAGTTCCCAAACACGCCAGCGGGAACTGGGGGTCCTAAGCCTCGCCCACCTGCCGGGCAGCGGTCCGGGAGGAAGCGCGGGGCGCCCTGGGCTCCTTCACTCCCTCCAAACAGGGATTCTCTGGGCAGCCCCAGGTGCCTTCCACGCACATCCACCCCGCATTCCGGCCCCCTCGGAAGGAAGCCCAGGCAGCACCGAGCAGCAAGGGCAGGCGCCGCGCGGGGCTGAAGGACACCACGGCGTGTGGGTGTGGGGAGGAAACGGCTTCCTCGGGTGTGCGGCCTGCTTCCCGGCGACCGGGAGAGTCACGGACAACCATGCAACTCTACACGGTCCAGGCGCCCGACACGGACCTGAGACGCGCGGCGCCGGGAGCAGCAGCGAGCGCTGCGCAGGCGCCGTGGGCGGCGCGCAGGCGCAGTTCGGCGTCCCCGTCCGGCGCTGGACAAAGCTGGCGCGCGCCGCCAGGGGGAGCATCTCGGCTAGCGTCCAAAGTCGGGATACCCGAGGTCGCTCTCCCTGTCCCTGTGCTTTTTAAGGCTAGCGCCCTGACTGGACCAGCTGAGGCCTGGGACGGGGTCTGAAACCCGGCCCTGCTCCGCACGGGCCTCGTCCTCGAGCCTGTCCCCACAACCCTCCGCACTTCGGGGGCCGCTGGGCACCTCACCCAGCATTTGGGGATCGGGCCTCCAGGGGAAAGTAATTGCTGTCCAGTTCAGCTGCCTTCCGCCCTGGGGCTGGACCTTTCACCATCCACTTCACACTAGCCTTCTCCGGGGAAGCAATTACTTAAAGAAATGACTGGTTGTCTTGTGAGACCCTGGGGTTTGCGGTGTGGAATGTTCTCTCACCAGACTACCGAGAGCCTCGCCAGGCACCAGCACTGGGCTGCAACTGTGGTCCCCTTCTCTGCCCCATCTCTCACCCTTTCTTCCCTCTCTTCCTGTGTTCTGCAGGCTCATCTCGGACACACATCACACACATTGTGGGTTTGTCTAGCTCCTCTACAAAGTGACTACTTTCCTCCCGGACCCCTTAAGCACTAGAGAACCAGGATATAAAATGTACTCAATAAATAGCTGCTGGATAAACAAATCAATCTATGAGCATGTACTCAAGGCAGAGCTATCAGCCGTCGTGTGTCCAATCACCAGCAGCGTATACCTGGATTCCGGAAGGTCCCTCTGCCTCTTGTATTTATTCACACCCCAAATTCCCTGTAGAGGCCACAACCAGGAAGTTTTACATGGGTAAACGTGTGCTATCATTCCTTCCTTGTAACTCTCAAATGTCACCCTACTACAGAATACAATCCCAGACCACCTGAGTGGCCCCTGGTTTGATCCTGGTCTGCTTCCATCAACCTCAGCTGAGACAGACCTGACTTCCTCTCCGTGTGCCCCACAGGCCATGCTTTTTCACAGGCCCTAGCATCTTGGTTGCTTCTGTTTTGGATGCTCTTCGCACTACCTCGTTCCTGCCTCCTGGCTCCTCTGCAAGAGTCTGCTCTCGATTTCAGAAGATACTATATAAATCAATGCCATACCTCATTTTATCTTTCTCATCGTGCTTATCATCATCGGGAATTATTTGTTCGTCTGTTGAGGAGTTGAGAAGCCTGTCTACTTCCATGCTTTCTGAAACCATGTCCAGGCAAGCCGAGGTCCTGGCCACACCTTCAGGTGGGCGGCACCAGCATTGCCTACCCATTTCCTAAGTAATTAAGACACCACCAATGGGGAACATCTGACCTGTGAGGTCCCGCCCAACAAGGAGGGCCAAGGCCCTTCCTCAAAGCTTTGGTGTCTCTTCTCCCTTTTCCAGAGGCACCCCACCTCCCGGCTTCCTGTCAGGAGGTGCTTCCCTTTCTTCTCCCTTCCCTGCTCACCTTGTCCCTTCACAAATAAACTTTTCTGTCTGCAACAGATTCCTGGCTTTTTATGTCTATACTAAACTGAGGAAAGAACCCACCGGGCTTCTCTGGTAACACTTTCCACCCACTTTCCCCTATAAATGTATGCACCAGGATGAACATGTCCTGAGGGCCAAGTCCTTGTGTCTTCTTGGTGCTGAGAATGGATCTTGGGTTTCTTAAGTGCTCCATGAGCATCTGTCAGTGGGTGACTGACCAAGGAGTGGGACTGGTGGATATACAGAGTGCTGTGGGCATTTAGTGGGATGGGGGCAAAGTCAATCATTCTTTTTTCTAAGACATAACAAGCAAGTAGGGTTGTGATTGTGAGACTTTGCCCCCAGTCAGTGGAAAATACACCATAGAACACTGAATCTCTGCTTAAAGGCCCTGCCTCAGGAAGGCTTCCTTCCGTGATACACCTACCGAAATATGTTCTCCTTTCCTTGTCTCTCATACTTGTCTATACTTTTCTGTCTCTTATCTCCTGCCTTGTAATTATGCGTTTACGTGTGGGGTTATGTGTTTGACCGTTGTCTCCAATGGAGACATATCTCAGATGGTATCATGTCTTATGTGCCCAACACTGGTTCCCAGGGACTAAGTACCAGGCCAGACACACAGAGAACTCAATCATCATCAACTGAACCAGTCTTCATGGCTGACCAAAAAAATAAATAAATAAAATAAAAACCTTCCAAAACCAGTGAGCAAGAAAGCAAATGGCAAGTGTGTGTACCTGCACATGCATCCTAAAGCAGGAAACACACAATACATTTTAATAAAAAAAAAAAATTTTTTTTTTCTGAAGTTCAGTAATTGTGACATCAAAGAACTGAGTCACCATCTTGGTCCTGACACAGCTTTCTCTGTCTCCTTGGGTCAGTTGCTCAATTCCACTAGGCCTCTATCTACCATAACCCTGCCTACTGCACCCTAAGAGTTAACAAGAGAATAAAATATAGCTCTAAGCCCCAAACATGTGGCTTTCGTTCAGGTTAGTAGTGGCTAAAATACAATTCTCAGCTACTGGAGCATTTTTGTAACCCTTTTTCCTTCCTATACAGCCTGATCCTATATGATTCCTCCTCCCTTCTGCTCAGGCATCCAAGAACCTGCTCCAGGATAGGCAGTGCTGGGTGCTAGGAGTACCACAGGACACCATCCCTGCTCTATAGCCAGGACCCTAACTGGTTTGGAACACAGTCTCCAGTCCTAATATTGCCATCAAGTCTCACCGTGACAATGGTTTGCCAAACAATTTCAATGAGCTTTTGTGACACTTTCAACTCAACACATCTGGAAATAAGCAGGATGTATTGCCTTTGACTTCCCTCTCCAGGTCATGACACTACCAATACTCACACATCCACGCTCAGAAACCCATAGTTGGCTTTGGCTCCAAACTCTCCACTGACCCTGCATCCTTAGTCACCAAGCAAGTTCTTTGTTTATGGACTATAATCACTTCCCAAGAACTTTGCTACCTCCCTGGTCTGGCCAAGGCCACAGCCACAGCCTCTCAGCTGATGGTGGCGCAGGTATGGATTCCTACCACACGGTCTTTCCTCCACACGAAAAGACTGGTTTTCTGGAATGGACTTGGATGCTGACATACCACCCTCGACTCGAGGATGAAAATTAGACTCTTCACTCTAGGAATCAAGGTCATCTGAAGACTGCCATTACCCAGCACATGTCAGGCACAGCTCCTTCCACACCTGGCTAAACCCATGATTGTTCGCCAACGCCAACCACAAATTTGCTTCGCCTTCCTTTCTGTCTGAAGTCCCTTCCCTCTCATCTATTTTCACCTGCATCTTCAAGAATCCACAAAGGGGAGCCTCCCTGACCATCTGCCAACACACATGGGTTCTCGCTCTCCCTCCCTCACCCACAGACATATTTGATGTTTAGCCCTCCAACATAGTTGCTCATTCATTGCCTTTGCAAGCAATCTTCCCTGTTTCAAGGAGACCCTAAGTATTCTGAGGGCAACGTCTTTGCCACGCACGATCTGAGAGTCTTAGCAGATGTTGGGCTTTGCTCAGCACTATTTAGTCATATGCGTACCAAAACAACATTTTCTCAGGAATTTCACATGAGTTAACAAGTGGAGGTGAGGAAAGAGATCACCGGGGAACAGGATCACTGCCCCAGAAATCATGTCTTTTACAAAATGCCAAAACAAGAATGTTGCTTATTTTGACACAGAGGGGTGTCAAGTCAGTTCTGATCTCCGCTGAGCAGGCATTCAATCCCAAAGGGACACAGAAGAAGCCTCAGCCACAAACAGCTGCCGAAGCAAGGCTCCAGCACAACAAGAAACACATCCCCAGGGGGAGGAGAGGGCAAAGACACACAGACTCTAAGGAACTGTCCCCGCGTGATGGATGTTTATTCAGTAAATACTGGCTGAATTCATTAATAATGAGTGAATGATAGATGGAAAACTAAATATTTGTGATGGTTCTCAATGTTTCATAGGAACGTAATTGAGGATTATCATTTTATGTCCAAAACTCCCTCTCAATTATTTTATTTCTCTGAATTTAATTGAAGCCCAAAGGACTGTGCCTCTCTATTGTACAGAAATAGAGAACATTAATGAGCAAAGCATCTGATACTTACACTCCCTTTAGACTTTCTGGATCCTACAATAGGAGGTAGTGAAGAAGCTTTCTGACTGTGGAAACAAATGGCAATTTAGAAATCTGAATGTTATTTACAAATTACACTCAGTGCAATGTTACAGTCATTCTAACTTGGCGCTCCAACCTGGAAGTCAACTAGATTTCACAAGAAATGCCACACACTTTCCCAGTATCACAGAAACTACAATAAAATTCCCAATTCAATTCCAAAAGTTGTTAAATATTTTCATTCAATTTCATTCATACTATTATAATTGATAACACTCAAATGAACTTTAAGTACCACCTTGAATGTTTCACAGCACTTTTATTCAAATCCTAAAACTTTCCATTTGCATTTCAAAACATCATTTTCCAACCTGAGCAATGATTTTTCCAAATTGAATGAAAAACAAAACATTTCCATTGTTTTTATTATGGCTGTTAAACCAGTTACTCTCATTAGAAAGTAAAAGATTTTTGTTTTAGACTGTAGAAATCAATCTTTTGTATTTTCAGGAACAGACCTGTCTTGAAAACAAACTGAACATCTTCTAAAACAGGATGTCATGAACATAAAGGTAAATCTAACTTATTTATTTGCATGAAAATAGCCAAACTTGAGTTAATTTTCCCATTACCATCGAGTATACACTGTCGCTCACGGCAGGTTAACCCATGATGCCTAGGAGAGGCTGTTCCAGGATTTCATTTCATGCATGAGTAGGCATGGTTAGCAGTTAAGTATGCCGGTAAATAATTATAAAGGGCCAGGAAGCCATGTGCAGTTGCACAGTTCAAACCACCACTGAAATACCATCCTATTATTTATTTAAAAAATCCTCAGCTACCTTCCCATCAAGCTGCATCAGTTGTAAATTGGTGACATTGTGAACAAGATGGCCACATAAAGTCAGTTGTCAAGGGCAAAGTGGCAACAGAATCTCTGAAAGGCAGCAGGGGTGAATCCTGGCACCCAGGGAAGGCAGGCCACAAGGGCCTGGACCAGGGGCCAGAGCTTGCGCACGAGGCTCTGTGGTGTATCTGCTCAGTCAAAACAAAGCAGCCTTCACAAATGTGTGATTTCTCATCTGGGAAAACATTCACAGTGCACTGAAATTTATGCTATGTTAATTACACCCAGTGTCTGTTTATTTGCATATATAACATCACGCTGTTTTTATGTTTTCCAATTATTAAAAAGGGTATAAAATATCAGGGTTTTTTGTTAACACCTTTGGGTGTTAAACTACAGAATCTTGTTAAACCATTAAGACACTGAAACTTCACATACTAATTGCTGTAGAGAAACTCATTGCACTATATCTTCCTCACAAGACTAATTCTTTACACTTACTGGGGATTCAGTGAAAAGTAAGAAGAAATACTATGTGGCCTTTCACACATTAAAATGGTTCTATTTTGATGCAATAGCTTTCTATTTCCTATGATGATGATAAAAACAAAAATGTAAACACACTAAACTTGCTTCCTACTTTAACTCATATGCAAGATTATCATGTCACGTACACTGGTGGTGCTATTTCAGTCAGGAGAAAGGAGTAAGCAAGGAATAAGACTTACCCATAAGGCCTTCTCATTGCGGACTTGTCAAAAAGTAGTTCACTGTAAGGCAGTTTCTTAAACCTATCTCTGCCGACAGCCACGTAAAATTGCCCATTCTCCAGCTCCGCCCCGCTCTCAATGAGTTTTCCTTCTAAAGTGTAAAGTCTGTCGAAACATTAATGCCAAGAGTTAGAAGTTTAACAAGCCTTTAAAGGCTTGCTTAATTCACAAATAAAAACATGGTGTTCTTACCTTGACTCACTTATGCCATTTCTAATAATTGAGTTACAGATGCCTTTAAGAGATTCAGTTCCACTAAACACCAATGTTACAATACAGACACAATTACTAACTAACTGTGCAGGATCTTATCCCAATGAGCCTGATGACTCTGATGTCACACCGACACCTCAGAGAGTGTGTACGGAATGTGATGCTCTCCACAAGGCAAAGCTCAGCTTCCACGGAAAACTGCTTCTCTATTTATATTTTTCAAGTGCTTTCAGAATTTATTTTCTTTTTTTAAAAAAGATTTATTTATTTATTACAAAGTCAGATACACAGAGAGGAGGAGAGACAGAGAGGAAGATCTTCCATCCAATGATTCACTCCCCAAGTGAGCGCAACGGCCGGTGCTGCGCCAATCCCAAGCCAGGGGTCAGGAACTTCTTCCGGGTATCCCACATAGGTACAGGGTCCCAAGGCTTTGGGCCGTCCTTGACTGCTTTCCCAGGCCTCAGGCAGGGAGCTGGATGGGAAGTGGAGCTGCCGGGATTAGAACCAGCGCCCATATGGGATCCTGGGTGTTCAAGACTAGGACTTTAGCTGCTAGGCCACGCCGCCAGGCCCCAGAATTTATTTTCTTTGTGTGTTTGTCACACTGACAAGCCTCTGACCACATTCTGTATTAGGGACACCACCTCCCGTAACCACCCCCATCTCCCACCATCCCACCTCTCCACCACCCCACCCAGTGCAAAGTATTACATCCAAACCCACACAGAACTGGGTCAGAAGGGAAAAAAAAGTGAGTGGGCAGGAGGTAAACCAGTGCCAGAATTAATGATGCAAAGTATTACATCCAAACCCATACAGAACTGGGTCAGAAGGGAAAAAAAAGTGAGTGGGCAGGAGGTAAACCCAGTGCCAGAATTAATGATGCAGAACTGCATAGCATTCATGCCTCTTTTTTTTTTTTCCATCCAACCTCAGCAAGAGAATGAACATTTTATCTTCCCAGAATCAAGGAATTTCACAAGATCCTTCCCTTACTGTAAAAGCATACAAACTAGTTAATGTGTTACTTGTTGAAAGAACAGTGATCATGTCACCAGATGACTTAAAGAACAGGAAAAAAAACAGTAATAAAAAAAGAACAGGAAATAAACTAATAAAAAACAAGAACAGGAAAGGCAATGCATATTTGTATAGGTTCTAAACAAGAGTTAATAACCGGAAGGGGTTTCAAGATAACCTTTTTGTTTGTTTATTTGTTTGTTTGTAATGCTTATTCTTCTTACATAATTAAGGTTAGCACTATCCATAAAGGCAAAAATTAATAATAATAGTAATAATCCCCTGACCTGTCAGTTTGTGTACTGATCGCATAAATGGCCATCTCACCGAAGCCATGACATACGGTGAGAACAGTGCTTCTGACTTTGGTTGGCATACAGCTGGAAAGTCTTTTGCATTGTAGCACTGCACTTCTATCTATTCCCGACAAGTCTAAGTACCAACACTTAACTCAGCGATCCCTGCTTGACCTACAGTGAAGCTTCTGAAGAGAGGCACTGTGAACAATTTTCGACCAGATGACAACTTGCAGAAATCACTACAAGATGTTAAACAGCAACTTTGCCTTGTGCTTGCCAGACAAGCATAGCCAGTCCCACCCCAAGTTGGGACAACAAAAATGGCTCCAGACACTACCAAGTGTCCCCCAGGGGCAAAAAAAAGCATGCCTGGCTGAGAACCACTGGCCTGGAGCCAGGCTTCCCTCTTTCATTTTCCTTCAAATCATTAGATCTGAATCAGTAGCTAACTTTTATGAGTAGACATTAAAAGGAACCTAAGTGCGCACTCTGGAAACAGCCAAAATTCAACAACAGGTTTTCTCTGAAATACGTAGAAGGTGTGGAACAAATTCCAGCTAAGTATTTTAGCTTTTTAAAAATACTTATCTCTTGTTGGCCTGCTTTCTTTTCTTGTTATAAGGCTAAAGAAGAGCAAGCAGGAAGTCTAATCTGATGGCGTGCTGGTGAAACCCACAGGTGCACACAGGGGACCCAGCCATGAGCGGCAGTGGGACATGTCCCAAGTGAGCAGCACCAAGCTCTCTCACTGAGTCACATTAGGACTGAATTTACCTACGTCCTGGTGCATTTGGGGGACACATACTATATTTAATCCCCATATTGGTATTTTGTATATCTTATTACCCTGTATGGATTTGTTCATATTAGTAACAGGTATATCTAGAAACATAATTGTGTCTTTGTGTGCTTTATATCATTTGTTGGGTGGGTTTATATCATTGTGTATGTCAAAAGATAAGACTATATATTCAGAAAAGGCAAGATATAATTAGTGAGATCTGTCTTCATTCCTGACTCACAAAAAATAAAATCCAGAAAGATCAACCAAGGGTTTAATTAAAATTTCAAACTATAAAATATTAGAATTTTTTAAATTTTCAAATGAGGAAGTTCTGAACTAGTTATAATACACTGCTCATAAAAAGAATGAAAATATGACTGCATCAAACTTTCAGATACCAGCAGGCAAATATACATCTAGATGAAGAGATATTAATGGACATAAAGAGAGTGCAAACTGGAGACAATTTAAAATTCACATGAGAAGGGTACAAATTTCCTCATTTGTAAAGAGTGTCTTTAAGTCAATGACATAAATGTGCAAATTCCAAGACAGTTAGGAGAAGAAATACAAATACATGGCATTTGTTTCGCCAGGTAGCTTAGAGGTTAATAGCCTCTGCAGCAGAGGGATTACTCCACTGGAATCCCAAACCTTGCTACTTTTATCTGTACAATCTTGTGCAGTTCACCATCTGCTTCTGTGTCTCCCATTTCGAGTCCAATGAAAAAGAATAACACTGGGCTTGGCATAGTGGCCTAGTGGCTAAATGTGAATGTAAATTCAAGTGGTAAACCTTGAATGTGCCAGGATCTCATATGGGCACCGGTTCTAATCCCAACGGCCTCACTTCACATCCAGCTCCCTGCCTGTGGCCTGGGAAAGCAGTGGAGGACGGGCCAAAGCCTTGGGACCCTGCACCCGTGTGGGAGAACCGGAAAAAGGTTCCTGGCTCCTGGCTCCGGATCGGCACAGCATTGGCCGTCGCGCTCACTTGGGGAGTGAATCATCGGATGGAAGAATTTCCTCTCTGTCTCTCCTCCTCTCTCTATATATGACTTTCCAATAAAAATAAATAAATATTTTTTAAAAAGCAAAAAAGAATAACACTACTTGCCTCGTAGTCTCACTGAGCTAATTATGTCAAAAGAAGCATAAGGCACATAGGCTAAAATCTAACCCATGAGAAATCATTGATAGACACTATTGCATGCTAAACAAAAAACATACACAGATAGTAGCAAATAAATAATAGCAAAAGATAGAAAATTACGTAATTCCCATCAGAGACCTCCATTAGAACATTCTCATGAGATGGAATATATTTTAAACATAAAAATGTTGAAATGTTACTAGTTACACAAAGGGCAATCTTTAAGATTTGCAGTCACAGGAATAAACAAGGTATGCAGGAATACAGATGTATGCGCACAGGCTGGTCAAAAGAGTAAGTTGATCCGCACGAGGAGCTTAAAATCGATCTTGGCACATGGTAGCACACCGAGCGCTGTTAACTATATTTGTTCTTTCGGTTTAGAGTAAACAGGCAAGCACCCACAGGGGGACTGCATCACACACCTGTGGACAGCCCCGCTCCGCAGCGTGATCTTCTCGGTGACCATCTGCAGGACGTGATCCCACTGACCCAAGGCTTTTCTCGGGATGAGGAGGCGAGAAGCCGGACTTATGAGGTCTCCATTTGCGATCAAGCTAAGGAAACAGGGGTTGTTGGAAACTATGATGCCTTCAACCACACAACAGACTCCCAAATCAAAAGGAAACTGCCAGGTCCGTCTCACCGGGAAATGGAGAGGGCTTCCACTTACAAGATTGTGCAGGGTTCCTGGAGAGGTTTTCTGAAGCGCGCTGACACGTTGATCCTGCTGTGGATTACTGGTTTTACCTTTGAAAGCAAGGCAAAAAAAAAAAAAAAGCAACAACATAAACCATTAAGCTCATATCAGCTTTTTCTAACCTAAGAGGAAAACTGCAGGTTCCCAAGGAAATGGCTGAGCCCTGTTATGTCTTTGTTAAACCGTGTACCTTTTACCCCTCACTTACATGAACACTCTGGGCTCACCCTGGATCAATAGTATACGCCTTTATCAGAGTTCTCAAGAAAAGGAAAAGCTGCCGTAAGCCATGGTCACACACTCTTCATGCTCTGTGGTCTCGCAAGAGAATTTTTTTTAAAAAAGATTTATTCATTTTTATCGGAAAGATTTACAGAGAGAAGGAGAAACCAACTTTCCATCCACTGGTTCACTCCCCAAGTGGCCGTAACAGCTGGAGCTGAGCTGAGCCAAAGAAAGGGGTCCCCCACATGGGTACAGGGTCCCAAGCCTTTGAGCTGCATCCTACTACTTTTCCAGGCCACAAGCAGGGAGCCGTACATGATCCTAGCACATATAGGGTGAGGATTTTAGCCATTAGGCTACCACACCAGGCCCTATTCAGAGACTTTTTTTTTTAATTTTTAATTTTTTTTTTAAATTTTGTTTTATGACACAGCTTCATAGGCTCTGGGATTCTGGGATTCCCCCATGCCCTCACCCCATGTTGGATTCCTCCACATTTGTTGCAGTAGCACAGTTGATATCCAGTCATGATTCCTTCATTGCGAGCATGTACCATACATGGAGTCCAGTCTCTTATTATCCAGATAAATTCAACAGTTTCCTTGGGAGACCATCCTGCCAACCCCAATAAAAAATTTTTTAAAGTAGGAAGATAACCCCCCCAAGCATTTATTTTGGACCCGGCAGAGTTTATATTCCTGACACTGTCAGTCAGTGAAGGAAATCACTCCCTAGGAACAGGGGAAAGGCCAGTGACAGCCCTGCCTTGGTTCTGCTCTGAGCGCAGTGTTGTTTTGGAGAAGACAGCTTATTCACACACTGAAGCATGGATAGTGAACAGAGAAAGAAAAGAGACTACCTGGAGACAGGATGAAGAGCTGCCGAGGCCTTCCCTTTAACCCCATGAATTAAGTAGACAGACAGATGATGATGAGAGAGAGAAAAGGAGAGACTGCTTAAATCTTTCTTAAAGCACGTCAAAATTCAAACGTGACAGCAGCGACTTGACCACACTCACGCTGCTGGAACAGGGTGAGCCAGCACATTAATGCTGATCTTTGGATACCATTCACACACTCTTTCCAAGCTACTGCTCTGCCTGTGGTCTCTCATTGAAATGAGTGTATGTCACAGATGGCCATACTAAACAAAATTCCTCATATGGACCTGATACATTTAAATAAACTCACATGACACTTAGTAGGACAATATCACAGCTAGCTCAACACTCAGATTCATGATCTTGCTCTGACATGAAAACTTAATAAAACTAAAAAGCATTTTTTAAGTTTCTGGGGTAACAAAATCAAGGTTGAAAAGCTGAGTAACTAACAAGCTGAAATTTTAAATTCAGGAGCCAATTGCCAAAACTTTTTCGTGAGCTGAATCAGTTCCTCACATCTCACTTTCTTCAGGGGTACCAATAAAGTAGCCCAAAGGGGTATTCCATGAACTAAACAAGTGGCAATTTCACTCCCTGGGGCAGCTAACTGTAGACCTCGGAGGCTGCGTCTGCTTCAGATCCCAGCACACTCTAAACTTGGACCCCTGAGCCACCAAAGCTCACCTCCAGGACCTGGGCGAGGGATGCCCATAGACACCATCCCAGAAACCGCCAATGTCGCGTAAAAACTGACTAATCAATTTTTTTTTTTTTAAATTTTCACATCTTTTATTTGTGAAAATGTCCTTAATTTGTTGATGTAGCTAACAAATTTCAATTCGGATTGCTATGCAAAATAACAGAACATAATCTGCTTTGCATTGAACTTCATAGTTCAACTGCATACAGGCAACATGCTATATCTGAAAAAATTACTAACCAAACTACAGGTATTAAATACTGAAAAAGTTAACAGTTTATTATAATTTATTTTATTTAACAATCTAGGAAGTTCGCAGCCATCAGGAGTTCCAAAGCAATTTCAGGTGCAATTGGGAATTCAGGAATCTCAGTGGAGCTGTTAGTGTAGCGAACCTTGTAGGTAAAATACATGCATACTTTTGATAGCACATGGGATGGGATCTCTCTGAAATTGACCTCATTGGTTTCGTTTTCAGCAAACTGACCTGGGCCACTCAACATGGCTTTAATTGTTCCTGATGTTAGTGCATGTTCTCTTTTTACAATAAATTCATGACCATCAGAAGATATTAATTTGACATACATGGCATCAGGGCCTTCACAGCCACCATAAGTTTTCTCTTCTCCATCCATTATGTTCTTATGAAATTCTACTTTGCTTCCACAGGAACTTCAGTAGTTTCTCCGCAGCCCCGCAGCGAGCGCAGCCACCGCAGCCGGGTCCCCGCGAACCGCCACAGCCCCTGTTCAGGGCCGCCCCCCGCCCCTAGCCCGGCGGCTTCCGGGGACTAATCAATTTTAAAGCGCAATTTGCAATCATTTTATTTTTAAAATGTAGATCTCAGCATTTAGAAAAACAAGGGCGGGCCCAGCGCCGTGGCGCAAGTGGTTAAGTCCTCGCCTTGCACGCCCGGGATCCCATATGGGCGCCAGTTCTATCCAGGCAGCCCCACTTCCTTTCCTGTGGCCCGGGAAAGCAGTCGAGGACGGCCCAAAGCTTTGGGACCCTGTACCCGCGTGTGAGACCCGGAAGAGGCTCCTGGCTTCGGACTGGCATAGTATCGGCCATCCTCGACTGCTTTCCCGGGCCACAGGCAGGGAGCTGGAAGGGAAGTGGGGCTGTCGGGATTAGAACCGGCGCCCATATGGGATCCCGGGCGTGCAAGGCGAGGACCTTAACCACTTGCGCCACGGCGCCAGGCCCAAAGCAGCAATCTTTAAGGAAACTTGGTGCTGCTCTCCAAACATAGTATAGAGCATCAAAGAAAACAGGGCTCCTTTCAAAATATTTCACCAACCTTACACTTTCTGATAAATAAGAAATGCGTTAAAATTTTTTAAGAGATGCCAGAGTTGAAAATAAATTATCTAGGCATCAATATAATAGGCAAATCCAAAAGAAATTGTTCTTAGAGATTTTATACATAAACATCCTTTCTCACACACCACAGGTATTACTAATTTTTTAAACGGAAGAATGAGTGGTTAAGATGCTGAACACACAGCAGTAGTGTGACCCACTGCTAGACTGAGTGTGCCCTGCTGTTTATGCACGCCTCATAATTGATGTTGGACAGTGCCTCTTTCAGAGCATAGTTCACGCTGAGAATGCCTCCTAACCTGCACAGAAGGAAGTCATTTATCATGGAACTGTTCCAGACATGCGGCCTGAAAGAGATCCTGGAAAAGAAAACGCCATAGCAAAGAGGTCAGGACAATAGGCATCTTTGCGGAAGACTGTTTCTTTAAGAGACACCTTAAGAAATGCTTTTCACTTCTGGATTGGGAAGGAGATTGTGGGAGACTACTGCTGCCACAATAACAATAGGAACTGGAAGAAAAACTAAACTTACTACACTTATGAAAGCCTCACTCAGGGGCACAAGATGCAAAGAAGTCCAGAGAGAGGCCCTCTCTCCAAGAGGGGAGGAATCTGCAGGTGCATTCGTCCCCAGGGGCACAGAGGGCACAAGGGCAAACCTGGGTGTGAGTCAGCACAACAGAGAAGAACAGATGCGGAGCAAGTCCACACCATCCATGAACTCTCTCCCATGGGGCCTGCCTTAGGTGCACCCAAGTGTAACAGAAGGCAAGACCCGATGGAAGGGTGGGGGAAGACAGCCCTTGGTGGAAAGTGAGGGGCTGAAGTGGAGAGCGGCGAATCTGCCGATATATAAACAGTGAGAGATCTTACCATCATCCCAGGATTGCTCCCTGCCCTGGTGTCCCCGATGTGATCCTCTAAAGGGTTACCATCTCTGTTAAACTGAAACCGAACAAAGCCACAGCCTAACCTGTACCATGTTTAACCATGGATGTCCCAGCAGTCAGCCTTTTCCTCCAGCATCCAAAAGAGAGAGAAAATATATCTACTTTCAGTTTCTCCACGTTTTATACAAAATGATCAGTGTACAACAAAAATACACAAATGTAGGCAGAGGGAGAAATGGGCTCCCCTATCAAAGGAGAAAGCCCAAATCAAAGTCAGAGATAAACGTGATGTGAAAATAAACCACAACCAAAAAAATGTTAGTAGCCGTTACACATGTGCTAAACAATGCAATGGGGGAAGCTAGAGAAGTGAAAGAGGAGGAAAGTGAGCTCAGAAAATGAAACTTCAAAACAGAACCAGGTGAAAATCCTGGAACTAAAAAACAAAATATCGGAAACAAAGAATGACAGGGATAAAACAGATTATACACATGGCCTAATACTCTGAGAAAGTATCCTCCAAGTGCCTGGCACAGTGGCCTAGCAGCTAAAGTCCTCGCCTTGAACACACCGAAATCCCATATGGGCGCCAGTTCTAATCGCGGCATCCCGGCTTCCCATGCAGCTCCCTGCTTGTGGCCTGGGAAAGCAGTCAAGGACGGCCCGGAGCCTTCAGTCATTTGGGGAGTGAATCATTGGATGAAAGATCTTTTTTTCTGTCTCTCCTCCTCTCTGTATATCTGCCTTTCCAATAAAAATAAAATAAATCTTTCAAAAAAGAGAGAGAGCCCAAATTTCCTTCTTACAAAAAGAAAAAGAGAAAAAGTATCCTCCGAACAGGAGATGAAAATAAGGACATTTTTAGACAACAAAGGCCAAGTGAATTGACTGTTCAGACCCACACAACTAAAATCTAATGAAAGAAATTCTTCAGACTAAGCGACATAAGACAAAAATGGAACTCTAAAAGAATAAAAGAAGGAGTAATGGGAGGAAATGTAAGAGTAAGTTTAGGGCCCGGCGTGATAG